ATTGTAGTAGAGGCTGATTGAGAGAGGCACACCTGATTGTAGTAGAGGCTGATTGAGAGAGGCACACCTGATTGTAGTAGAGGCTGGAGGACGCAGAGTTGAGTTCAGGGCAGTAAGGTAGCCAGGACTTGCCCTTAGGTCCCCAACACGAATCTGCATTAAGAAGAGCAGTCCCTTGGATCACGTATGATATGAGTTTAAGAGGTTTATATGTGGGAGGTAGTGCAAGAATGTTTCAAAAATGGACTGTTATGCAATTATTTCATTGACACCTATTTAAAGGTTATTACAAGATATCACTTAACTGCCACATCTGACCATGGGTTATACTCAACATACCTGTGCACATCCTCAACATCACATTAAAAAGACTGTTGGGGTAGGTACTATTTTCTCATTTTACAAAGAAGTTACACCTATTGAGGAAGTTTAGAGCTGGGATTTGGATTTGAGTTTGATTGGTTTCATTTATTGATTCAACAAATAACTTTTGTATCAATGAAGTGCCAGACACTGTGTCAAATGGTAAGAATAATGGACAGCCTGCCATGGCCTTAGTCCTTATAGACTCCCTAGACTGTGGACAGAGACAAGCAAGCAAGGGTGAAGAGCAATATGAGTGGGGGGTCGAACTATCTTGACTGCCATGCAGGTAAGTATCAAGAAAGACTAAAGAATGGGCCTTGGGCGGGAATACCTCAGGCAGAGGGATCAGCATGTGCAAAGGTGAAACGCCAAGAGAAAAGTGTTTAGAGAGAAGGGAGAAGGTCAGTAGGGGTCTGTGAGAGCAAAGAACTATGACCAAGAGGAAGGCTGGGCAGGGAGTGGACGTCTGCTGTGGGCTAAAACCAGCACTGCCCAGCTTGAGGGCTGATAAGACCCTATCTTGAAAAAGAGTTGAAGTGCATCTCTTCCCATGTCAGTGATGAGTTGACAGAAATAGAATTAGAGCACAGAAATTGACATAGAGCCAGGTGATTTCAATACCTGCCTATGACAGCTACTTGGAGGATGATTTGTTCATGCAGGTGAGACTGTCTAAGGAGGGGCCATCTCTGTTTCCAGTGAAGATGTCAAGTGGATTACTTGGGGTGACAAAGTGGGGGTGTCCAGCAAGTGGCTTTATACCTGCGTCATGCTCTATCTACTCACCCTGCCTTCTGGGAACACAACATTACAATCCAGCCTTGGCTTAGTGTTATCTCTCTTGTCCTAGATGCTGTTGAAATAAGTATTAACTTTATGAACCACAAGTCTCATTTCTTCCAAGAAACCTATACTATGTGCAATTTTTCACTTTTTTTAATTAAAAATAAAACTCCCATTTAATCTTTCATCTAAACTTATTTCCCTAAGGAAACCACCCAAGGAACAGTGTTTACAAAGACAGCAAATTGTTGGTGGGCTAAAGCATGCAATGCCACCTTTGTTCCTCAGGCAGAGGGAAAAATGCCTCAAGGCTGTGGGGTGGGAACAGATTGTAACAACATACTCTTTAAGTTAATTAAAGATTTCCCCCACCATTCTCTTGTGGCAGAAAATGAAGAACCCCAAACACAGTTCCCCCTGCACTCCATTCTCTGATATTCCTACTGTCCTTGTCATTATTTAGTTAAGAGCATATCCATGAAAACCTAAGTCATCATGTATCCCATCCTTTACCACTGTGGATTCACTAGGGATCACTCTTTGACCTAAGGTGGATAATAATATCTTCTCTTGGGATTCTTATCTCTGTTACAGAACTGTTGCCTCCAAAAACTCTACGACTGTCAGTGAGACAGAGATGACATATGCAGAGATAAAATAGATGGTGAGAGCGCCCTCCCTGGTAGTGCAATGGGTTAAACTAAGAGGCTGGCTGCAGCCACTTCAGCATGAGTTCAAACCCCTGCGAGGGAGGTGACCCACATGGCGCAGTTGCTCCCCTCAGCAGTGTATTGTGTCCAACTGCCTGTTCTGCTCCCCACTGTGTCTCTGGTGAGTCCTCTCACTGTCCCTGCACCCTTGTCCTGTGCCCAGGTTCTGTACACAGAACTAAATCTTTTTTTTTTTTTTTTTAAAAAGAGATGGTTCCAGGTGCAGTTCCTGGAGCCCCATGCATCTCTACCCTCCCAGAGGGCTGTTTCATTCACCTTTGATTACAAAAGCCAGTTTAGATAGGGCCTAGGTTGAGGTGTGTGTTAATGACTCCAACTTAAGTAGTCTTGATAGAGAAACCAAACCAAGCCACCCCTCGTCCTAATGCCCCATCACGTGCTCTCTGCCGTGCAGAGCACGGCGTGATGACGTCTAACATCTGACGCACTCCCTCCATGTACCTCTTTGCCTCTTCAAGGCTCTACAGATCCTAATGTAGTTTCTACGTTATCTGTTTTCATAAGTGCCTTCCCTTTCATTGTTTCGATTTTTTTTTTAAAGACTGTCTGAGCTTTCAATTGATTTGTCACATGAGGGTATAAATTTGGGAAAGGGGAAATAACTGTGATTAGATCTCTTTGAAACAGATAGGCATGATACATGATAGCTCATTTTTTTTTTTTTTTTTGGTAGACGCACTAGATACAGAGAAAGAAAATTCCCTAATTTATAATTAGAGGACATTTCTCCACCATCATTCTCATCAATAGTCAACTTTTATTGAGCACTTTTATAAACTAGACACTTGGGGTTTAAAGAGATTTAACATGTACCTTGGCTCTTCAAAAGTCTTGCAGAAAAACAACTGGTCCTACAAAACAGAAATACTGCTCATAGATGGATAAAAAATTGATCAACAATTATTGTGTGCACGTTTAAGGCATAAAATGTATATTAGAAATACTACAAGTGAAGCAAGATCCAAAGAGGAGCCCCCAAAATGACTAAAACGTTTGACTCTTGCCCCAATAAGAAAAACCAGAAAAGCAAGGAATCTACAACCCTATTATTTATAATACCTGTTACTTTTGAGGAAGGAGCAGGATGCCAGGGGGCCTCATTTGAGATGGTGGGAGGTTTGCAGGTGCCCAATTTTATTATTCTATATATTTTAATATTAAGAATGTTTTCTATATGTTTGTTGAGTAATTTAAATGCTATTTTCTTAAAAGGTCATTAAGAAACATGTAAGAGATCAAAACTTACACGAATTTTGAAAAAGTTTCACTTGCTTTACTGAAAGGACATTTACTCTGGTCACTGGGTTTTCACATTTTTATTTGCCAATTTTAAATCAGTGAGCTATTTCTGAAGTTTTGACGTTTCTAAAATTTGAGTTGTAGCAATCTGCACATTTTGCTGAGCATTCCACAATGCTTGTTGTTTGTGTCTTTCTCTAGTTGTCTGAACATCCTGTGCTTAGCTATCTGGGAATTATTTGTCTCGGAGTTTTCCTTTACAGAAATCAACAATGTTGAAATAAAGAAGTTATGCTCGAAGGTGGTGTTCTTATTATCATACCAGGTTTACGCTAGAATGATAAATTGCATACTTAACAATACTCATATGAGCAAAATATTTTTTCATTGTAATATGCATTGTTAAAATAATTCAAAAAATAAGATACAGTAATAGAAGTGAAGGCTCAAGACTAACAAGGTTACATTAGGCAGTTTTATAAATATCAAATGGTAGCACAGATTACTTCAATTCCCCAGGAATGTATTCTAAGGATATAATTAAATAGGGAAGATTTATTCACAAGCATTTTTTTAAAGAAAATTATAATATTAAAAAATAAAAATGCAAAGGTAGACTTTTATTTGATCAGTTTATTATCATTTAAAATATATTAAAATTTTAACATAGCAGAAGCAGAAAGTTTAATTGTAAATGGCAGTCTACAAAAAAAACTGCAAAAAAAAAAACCACACAGAAACAAAAATTTACATCAATCAATAACATTAAAATTCCATTTAGGTAAATATCTAAATTAATGCAGTATGTCTATACCTTTTAGAGAAGAGTTCTTTTGTTCTTTAATGATCTGCAGTTTGAGAAACTCTTCAACTTTCTTAAACCAACTTTCTTAAACAGTCAACTTTCTTAAACCATTAGCTTCTTAATGAAAGAAATGGGTCAGTCTTTTATCTATTTCCTCATCCCCCAATAAAAATGATGGGGTTCTACTTGTTGCTCAGTGTGGGGATGTCTAGAAAAGAGGCTCCTGCCTTTCAAAACTGGGGAACTGATTCCACATAAGTTACTTATACACACCAATAAGGTCTGGTGACAAATTAGAATTGTTCAAATTAAAAAAAAAAAAAAAAAGATACCCAGCTTGCTACTTTGGAGGTCTTCTCATTTTGTGGGTGTAGGTGTTTGTGAAGATACACACAAGGCTCAGTGGTAACCTAGCTCCTAACACATGATCAGACCGACCCAGAGCAACTCCAGCTCCTTGCCTGAACGCACACGGAGCAGGAAGATTTGGCGAGGTCTGGGTTCTGCCCAAGGCCAACGCCAACATCAGGCCCAGGTCTCCTCCGCCTCAGTCTGTAGGGCACTGCTGGTCATGTCCTGGGCAGGTCTTGTTCACTGCCCAGACTATTAGTCTCAAGCCACTCCTGGGCACAGTTTGGGAGTCCCGAGGAGCCAACTGGGAACCAGGAAGGAGAATTAATGAATTACGAAAATATGTGCTTATTATGATTATTTTTTAAAGACTGATACTTTCCTGAGTAAAGTACATAAAAATCTCACACGGAGTCATTTTCAAACACCAGGCCTCCATCTCTTACTCTCACTGCACCCAGATGGCAAATTCAGCCCAGCTCATATATTCTGGTGAAAAACAATGTATTTATGAATATTGTTTTTCTAATTATTTTACAACTTGAGAGCTTTATGCTTGCAATATGGTAAAAGGCTTTTTTCATGGTGAGGGAGAGAAACAAAGAGTGTATATGGGCTTCTTTGGTCTGTCTGTTGCAATAAGTCAGAGCTGGAAGGAGCCCAGTGAAGATGAAGGCGTCACAAACCACACGTGCGCCTGGGCCATGGCACCCTGGCACGGGTCAGCCCTCCAGACTGTAGACACATAAACCACAGACACTTCAGAAGGCCCAGGTTGAATAGGGACATGACCATGGGGACACTGAAATCAAACTGACATGGGCCAGTTTTATTGCTGAAGGAACAGGGTCGTGGTGCAGCAGCAACTCGGTGGTGCCTACCCCCTGAGCCCCTGGCCTGAGCTGGTGTCTTCTTCAGTGAGGTCCTGGGAATATCGGAACATGAGGATGGAATTGTAGATCTTCAGGGCTGGGCCCAGCTTGATCTTCATCACCTTGACGATGTCCGTCTGTGTCAGAAGCAGGAAGGCTTTGCCATCAATCTGCTATAAGTAAAGAAACACACATATAAAATACCCCGCCGGTACAGCTTTGGTTGGCTCCCAGGACTGCTTGGTGCTGAGCCATGACAGGCTGGCCCCTGTAAGCACACGAACAGCAGAGAATGAGGGCACCCCTCCTCACAGGGCTGGGCCAAGTATCCTCTTCACGCTCCAACCCCCCCCCGCCCAGGACTCTGAGGAGAAGTTAAAATGGAAGGTGTTCACTCTGCTAAATATGAATTCAGTTTACAATAAATGCTTCCAGGCTAAATTTCTAATACTACGGTTTTAAAATCTTGACCTGAATTTCTATTGAGTCTCTTAAAAAATAACCTAATTTCATCCAATAAATCTCTAGGAATTTGATCTGCAATGTATACACTCTATTATCACGTGTAATGGTGAAATATTGAAAACAACTTAGCATTTCAAAAATAACAGGAGTAGTAAGGAAATTACAGTGTCACGTGAGCTGGGATATGAGGCAGACACTAAACTTCATGTGTCAATGAAATCACTTCATGATGGGGAAATTTGTCATAAACAGTTAAGTGACAAAACTTGATGTGAAATGATGGAAACACTTCAATGTTTTTAATTCATAAAATTAAATATTTTATGACCATACCTACATATATGTATCGTTCAATTATTTGAAAACTTTATACCAAATGGTTAGTTAGGCAGTCAGACTTGGCTGTGGTTTGGTTTGTATTTCCTTCTAACTCTCCTGCATGTAAATGTTTTCTATGATATATAGCATTATTAGCAGAAATACAACTTCTTTCTTCATTCACGTTTAAAGCACACGTGGCCTGCAATGTCATGGCTTTGCCATGGGGTGACGAGAGGTCCCATTAGATTGTTTTCCCAACTGCAGCGTCCCTGGGTACCCAGAGTTTGCACCTTGTTCCTGAGTGTGTTGTACTAAGCACGTATAGGCCAAGCTGCACAGCTAAACAGGACCGAGCCAAAGTGGGGCCGAGGCTTCTGGGCCTGGGTACTGTGGGCTTGTTCCTGCTCACGCCCCCTTCTTCTTGCCTTCCTCCAACTCTCTTATTTACACTTAATTAAATCAAAACAAAGACTTCTGTGTTTAGAATATGGAAATACATATAATTTTCTCATTTCCTACCTCTTTCTTGAAGCACTTGGCATGCTCTTCACAGCCCAGAAGAGACTGTACAAACTCAGCCACCTACAGTGCAAGATGAAAAACCCGATTTAAAACATGCACCTGAAATAATTTCTTGGGTTGTAGTAATACAACATTTGAGTAAAATATACCTCAAATGCCTCAAACACTTGGGATTTAAATAGTAACTGCCAAGTCACATTAGCATTTGCCAGCTCAGGAGTCAGACTAACCCCAGTATCTCATCTGGTTTCCAGGCTGACCTACAAGGGTTATGGTGTATTACAATGACAATGACAGTTCCATTTGTGTGGAGCTCTGGCATTCTGGAACCTTCTGTCATCTGATCCTGTGGGATCAAGAAGGGTAGGGGCTAGTGGCCTGTGTGCGGCAGTTGTCACAGTGACTCACAGAGAGACCTTTCCCTGGCCTTCTGACACGGTCACTAGGACAGGTCCCTCTTACTCAGGCCTGGCCGGCACAGGAAACTAAGCAATTGATGCTGAATAAAAGCCCATCTAAATGATGAGAAGCTGAAACTTAAAGAGCTTTGATAAGTTACCAATTACCCAAGGTCCCACATGGCCAGGAAAAGCCAGGGCTGGCTTTGGAACTCAGGCTTTCTGAGTCTAAACCCAGAGTTTTGGAGAATCACTCTCTTCACCTCTATTTCCCACTCTCACCATTTCCCTCACTCCATCCACACATGCTCAAAATTCTTCTTATGCAGAGATCAGACAATGAGCTGGCTGTAAGTGCAGGAAGCCACCACCTGTCCCATTGTTGCATTGGGGACCAGACTGAAGAGAGGTGGGAAAGGGTAGACTTCTACCAATCAAAATGACAGCTGGGTTGGCCCTCCCTGGTGGCGCAGCTAAAGCCACTTTCGCATGAGTTTGATTCCCGCCTGCCCCGGAGGTGACCACATGGCGTGGCAGACCTCTCCTGACCCGCTCGCTGCTCCCCTCAGCAGTGTACTTCGTCGATCTGCCTGTTCTGCTTCCTACTCTGTCTCTGGTGAATCCTCTCACCCTCCACATCTCTGGCCTGTACCCCAGTTCTGTATGAATAAATAAATAAATCTTTTAAAAAAAATGACAGCTGGGTTCTGGCACTTATGGCAAGATCTGGCTTTGCAGACACACTGGGTGAGAGGAAAGTTAGACAGCTGTGGTAAGTGAATCCTGGAAGATTATTTATAGGAGTAACTGTCTTTGTTTTTTTTCTTCCTTTTTTGGTCCTCTGCCTCTGAACTGGGTGTATTGGGCAGGCAAGAGCATCGGACTGCTCAGGGCCATGTTTCAACACATTCTACAGTCAAAGAGCTCTAGAATGCCTGGAACCTACATGGCCTAGCACATGTGTTAGGGAAAGCGGGGCTCTCACCCCATTCACAGAAGAGTGCATCAAGGTGTTGGTAGATCCCCAGGTTACAGAGTAGTTAGGGGCAGATAGCCGCAAGGTGGACCCAGGGGCTAGACAATGATGTATACTCTGTCCAGGACTTTCTGGAGCTCTGTCCCTGTCCTCTCACAAATGAATTTAGTCTGCCTAATAGGAAGATTGCAAAAAATCTTTTTAAGGCAATCTGCATGTCGGCACCTGCTTTATGCACCTCTCACGCCACAAACATATTTTATTGTGAGTCATTACAATCATCCCTCTACAGTGCAGGATGATGAGACGTTTTGAAAACCCTTCCGGCCACTCATTGTGCTGCACACAATGCACTGTCCAGCGCCAGGAGCACCTGGGAGGCACTGAGTGCGTCATGCAGGCCTCAGCTCCTGGCAACCTGAGCTATTTCACCTCAGAGTCTGTTTTCTGGCTGTCCCTGCACCCACAGAGCTGAATCCGCTTGCTGAGTTAATATGGATTTCTTATTCCTAGGCAGATGGGCTGGGAAGAGTGGACAGTGCTGATATTTGCAGGGAGTTGAGGAAAGCCTTGCACCTGGTCACCGACACACGGTGTCTGGGGCAGGTGATGGTAGGGGTGTCTAGCGTGTCTCTGGGGGTTGAAACAGTGAGAGGTGGGTGTCATCCACTCAGTCCCCAGGCTGCTTTTCTAGCCAGGTATGTGCTGGCCATGGCTACATGGGAGGCATCTACTGGGTGCCTGGCAGGTTGGACCTGTGAGCAAGTTGAACCTGAACTTTCAGGGTTAACCAATTGATTAGTGGCAGAAGGATAAAGGAAAATGCAAGTGAAGAAAGGTTTATGAATCACCATGTCACAGGATCACACATCCACAAGAGAGGTGGCAGGCTATGGGCTTCTAGAAGAGATAGAAGTCATCTCAGGAGGGAGCTCAGGATAAGGAACCATGAAGGAGGTGGGGGCTGAAATGGGAACTGGGGTTGCACAGTAATTCCTCTGGGGGTGCAGAGACCATCAGTAGGCAGGAGCTGAGTTTGGCCAGGACTGCAGAGTCTAAGGGGGGCAGGTAGGAAAGGCTGGAGAGGAGGGTGTGGTCTCTAGTGGGCTTGCACTTCTATCAGCAGGCTGCAGGGAGCGGTGGAGGGCTCATCTCCACCTTGGACATACCCTGGAACCACCCAGAGTAAAAACAAAGGACTAAAGGTCAGCTTCTTGCCACAGAGATTCTGAAGTAATCAAGCTGGGTTGGGCCCAAAGTGTTTCGTATGTATTTTTAGAATCACCGGTTGATTTTAATGTGCAATTAGGGCTGAGGATCCCAATGGGAGAGTGCCCAGCGATGATACAGAGTGTGGATGGGCTGGGCAGGAGAGCTGGGAGGTGTCTGTAGGGGCTGGCAATCACAAGCTTGGATGAGGGTTGCCAGGCAAAGAAATGGAGATGGCAGGGAGTGCTACAAGTTGAAGCCCATGGGTTCTGACCCAGGCTGTGTGTGGAAGGAAAGGATTCAGACTAAGTTCAGAAAAAGTACTCCAGACCAGGTTTCTCAGCCCCAGCACTCCCAACATGCTGGGCCTGACCATCTTATGCCAGGGTCTGCCAGTGTGTGGCAGGTGGCTTAGCCACACCCCTGGCCTCCACCTGCTAGGGACCAGCAGCACACATAGCCACCTTCCACATATATCCAAATATGCCCAAGTATCCCAGGTAAAGAGCCACTATTCAGAAGTAAATTTCTTTGGAAGGGATGGCTCTTTTCCATGCAGAGGGGCTAACAGTCATAGCAGGAAAATTAAGGATAGATGAATGGGACATGAAACTGGTAAGGGGAAGGATGTCCTAAAGGAACTCTGCAGAGTTTTGTGGACTCTACCCCCCTACTCCAGTGATTGAAACTACAACTTCTAGCAGTACCAGGGAGAGAACTGTGAGGACCCAAGTGTGGAGCTAAGCAGGCATTCGAGGACTCTGGGGAATAGGGAGCCATGCTGTCCAAAGGTATCTGTCTGTCTGTCTCTGTCTCTCTCTCTCAAGGCGCTATCAGTTAGTTTGTTACCAGAACTCCAAGTCAGCCCAGCTGGTAAGATATTCCAGTTACCAGTTTGTATCCCTCTCTCTTTCCCTGGGTTGTTTCCTTTTTCTTTCCCCTCTGTAAACTGACCCTTTTGTGGTTAACTGCAGTACACATGAATTTTTTTTTAAGTGTGGGTGAGGCCCCACAGACAGGCAGCCCAGTTCACACTGGGGTGCCCTGTAACGAAACTAGCTAAAGACATATTCTGTTGCATTACAATCACTGGCATTATGGGGTTAACCAGGCCAGCTACAGGAGCTGGGAGTCCCCACAGGAGAGCTGGAGGACTTGTAGAAATGGTCTCTGAAATAAATACACACTCCAGGAATTTCTCTTCGTAACATAAGTATCTGCATGTTGCTATTGCTTTGATGGTTTAATATGTTAAAATAGCCTTTGTCTGACAAACCTCAAAAAGGATCCCATTCCCCCTCCTCAGTATTGTTAGGCCAGAAATCACTGTCCATGTAAAAGATAAATTGGATTTTTAATAGGAGTAAATAATGTGTTAAGCCAAACAGTGACCAGACCAGCAGCTTCAGCCTAGGGCTGGGGCTGCTGGCTGTATCCCTAGTGCGCCTCCCGTCTCCTCAGACAATGGGGTAGCCGCGTCTAGCTTGCGGGGCAACAGATAAAATTCTGTCTTTTGGAAAGAGCTTCTGATTTTATTCAGTTTCTTTCATTTTCCCAAATAATGAACATGGTCATGAAATACATTGAGGCACATTTTTTTCTAGCCAGAATCTATCCAAAGGCCTGAATCATACTCACTATTGTTCACCTTTAGTTATTCCCTCTAAAAACTACTCATTTTTTAAACTTTAAGAGAAAGGTCATTTTTCTAAATGTAAAGTTGGGAGTTTTGACATACATATTACAGAGGAGTATCAGAATGTTTTCTTCTCATTTTTTCCTTGAAAGCTTGTTTTCTCCTCAGGTTTGTGACGGATGTGGGAAACTGTTCATGGGTGTGAACGCTGACAGCAAACTCCCAGGCATTGTCTCCATTCAAGATGCCTGTGGGCAGGTCTGATAATCCTCGGGGACATGGCTCTGTCAGGGTGGCCAGAGCATGGCCTTGCTTCAGGGGGTACACCTGGAATGGAGGCTGAAGGGGGGGGCACTCCTCGAGCTCAGAATCTCAGAGTCCCAGAGTCCACAGAATCAAAACCCCGGCTTTGTTCTGGAAGGCCGCTGAGTAAGTGGAGTCTCAGGATGACATAGCAGGCTGGAAGAGACTTAAGAACGATGACACTGCAAGCTCCTGATAGCCCATCATTTTACCCGACTTACTCTCTTTCTTCCGCTCCCGATGACCTACTTTTCCTGCCACTTCTTGGAGCCCAACAGGCCTTGTTTTCTTCCTTCCGTGGGGCAGCTGCACCGTTAAATCTTTCCAAATGGCGGTGTTCTCCATCTTGCTGAGCCGGTAGCTGTGTAGCTGAGACGGTATTGCTGAAAGTCCACAGGGGATGATGTTTCCAGCTCGGGTCTCATTTTTTAGCAGAGGAGTTTATTTGCCCTTTTTACAAAGGCCCGATTGTACAAAGCTGCTATGCTTAGTTAGCAGTACCCTGCATTTTTCAAAACACTCCCTCTTGTGCTAAGATTGCTTTTAAAGAGACCACCATCTTTTAAAGTTAATGGATATTTAGGGAGCACTTGGCTGAAGGTAGGGCGTTTTTTTTGCGTTGCTTCGGAAGGCTTTTTTCATTTTAGGATTAAAGGGGCCGTTTTTTGCCCCAGGCCTTCTTTTTTGGCCCTTTTGGTTTTGTTGTTCCCCGTTCCCTTCCCCCCCCCCGGTGGTTGGTGGGAGGATGTTCTTCATATCTTCCTCCTCCCTCGTTGTTTTGTTGCTCCCTCCTGTTTTTTGTCCCACTCCTTTTTTTTTGTAGATGTTTTTTTGTAGGAGTTTTTTTTAGTTTTTTCCTTCCTATTATTTACTCTTTTTTTTTGTGGGTTTTTTCCACCCAGAGTAAGAAATACAGGCCGCACTGACCGTAGTTCAGTGTGTACATACACCCCCACATTTGTAACTGAGGTTACCTGAAACAATACCCTTTGTTGCGGTGATTCACGTTCATGTAGTCTTGTCTTTCATTTTGCAACCAGGACATCAACTATGCAGGCTACCTGTTTTATGAAAGATACGGCTGTGCTAGAAACAGCCCCAGTGATGCAGACACTACAGAGAAAGGTCACAAAGGCTCATGCTGGTATCTCTTCACAGTGACAGGATGCAGCAGGGCAAAGCAGTCTTCTTCCCTTCTGCTTGCTCAAAGGAAAAGCCTGCACCCCAACACACCCTTCTGCTTGCTCTGAGCTTCCTTTTCTAACTCCTACTGCCCTATTTTTAATGTGGCATCCAGAACGGTTGCAAACTCTTGTTGCCACTCACTGGTACATCCCCTATGAACTCCCTCCTGAAGGCGGCTTTATTTTCAAAGATACAAATAGAACCATTATAAAGCCCACACTTTCTACCCATCAGATTCTTTATGAGGATCTGTGTGTGCTCCAACGTGAGGACACAGGAGGAAATTTAGGATGAGAGACTTGTTCTCAAGGGCACTGGGTGAGAGGAATCTCAAAACTATGATCAATTCAACATTAGAGTGGACTCTAGGAAGGGGTGGGGGCAGGGGCGCTGTCAGCCAGGCAGCCTCTCCCATGATTTCTTTAATCGAAATCAGCATTATGGCCTGTTCTGATAATAACGGGAGTCCATGTCTCTTTTACAGAGGATTTAGCAACTGTGATCTCACCCCCTAAAAATCCTTCATGTATCTTAGTCTCTCCCAGTGAGCCTCTTCACTGTTCCCCATCCCGATGAGACTGGCTCTGGGCCCAGACACCTCCCTTTATTCACCCTTCCATCTCCCCTTTCCTTCTGTGCCAGACTTGAAACTTGTCAGATCAGAGGGCAGCTGCCTCCAAATTTCCTATTTGCTGCTTAATGTTCCTAAAACAGTGCTTCTTGTTCTTTTTGGATGATGGTCCCCTTGGGAAGTTAATGAAAAGCACTGGCCCTCCTCTTAAGGAAACAAACAAATACACATGGAACAGGTGTTTACAAGTGCCCAGAAGCCCGACCCTGCAACCCCAGCCTAGATCTGGGACCCAGCCCTGTTGCCTGGAACATGCTGACCTGGTCGCCCTGGCCACTTTCTTGCGTAGAATCCTCGCCCTGCTCCTCTGGGGAGTGAACCTTTCCAGCCCCTTTCCTCCTGCCTTTCCCGACCTTGGTGCCTGCTGGCACCCCCCCTCCCCCCAGCAGCTTTTCTGGAATCACATGCTTGGTGAGATCCTCTCAGGGCCTCCCTCACCCCGTAATGGTACCCAATCTCCTGTCTGAGCCCCTGGAAGAGCTGTTTGCATACACCACAGCAATCCTCAGGGGTCTTGGCTGTAACACCCTAAATTCATCATCTTATCCCCTGTCCCCAAACTGGATCCTTTCCCCAGAGTTTCATTTTCCTTCTTTGACGGCACCACCATTTCCTCATTCTTTCAGATGAACTCTACGGGTTTTCTCGCTCGCACATATTATTATCCTAATTAAGCACTAAACTGTGTAGTGCTGAGACTATAAATGGTTCACATTTGGCTCATTTTACTTCTTCTGCAGCTAATCTGTTTTCCTATGAGGTTGCTTTTAACTTTTAAAACATCCACTGAGTTGGGCTCTTCTCATGGCAGTGTCCAGTCCAGGTCTTCACTGCCCCCAGAAGGGGTGCAATGTGGTGGTGGCCTTGGTGGTCTCCCTGTCCCTGGCCTCTTCTTGCAGACCTCTGTCATTCTCCTCTCCCTGAAGCACCATTTTCTCAAAACAACTTGCCACAGAAGAACTTAAGACTGCTCCCAGAGTCTGCTAAGCACCCTGCACTTCCTGCTGTAGGCTACTCTTCCCTGTGCCCCAGCTCTGGAGGGTACATAGTGCGAAGATGCCAGCTCAGGCCCTGGCTCTGACCAACGGCTGGTAAAGTGGCATTTACTTTGTGGGTGGCTGGCTTTCCCTCTGAAAGAGCACACTCGCCTTACTATCACCCTCCGCTGCTTGCACCATCATGAACGTTGGTAAAGGATGAGCTATGTATTTGTCATCCTTGCAGATGTCATACTCCACACCAACCCTGTTTTTCCTTCCATCTGGAATGACTACCCTTTTCTCTGCTTAGGTAGGTTCCAGGTTCTCCAGTGAAATGACAGTTCAGTCCGGGGGGCTCTGGCAGGCGGTGAGCGCTGAGCGGAGGGCTGGAGGGGGAGCCAGCAGAGTAGGAGGGGATGTTTGAGGCAGCAGTAGCAGCAGTGTGAGTCTGAGAATCTGGGCAGGTCAGAGTCACAGTGGGGGAAGCAGCAGGGCAGCCCCAGGGTGGTGAGGGCATGTCAAGGCCACTGCTGCGGAGCACGGGATTGTTTGCAGGTGGTGGTGGGTGCAGAACTCCCTTCCCTACCACACTCATCGGGATAAAGCTGCTCTGCACAGCAGGCCCGGGGCTGGACCCAGTGGCTGCCTTAGTGCAATGTCTTTCTGAGTGGACAGTGACGATGTGGGGGGTAGGGACCCAGCAACAATCAAGGGAAGAGGGGGCTGCTCTTTGTCTCATTTAAAAAAGTTCAGCTGAATGACTTGAAAGGAAAAATTTGCGGGAGTCGGGAGTTCACAGTCCAGGTCCCTGTTCAGGCAGTGTTGTTTCAAGGGCCAAAATGCACACAATTTGTCACAGATGCAACAGGCTTGAAATTCATTTGGCTTGGTCGTGAAACGGACGCATGCTTTGTAAACTGGCAAAAATTCCTAACAGAGCTGACTCGTGCACTTTTTAAGGAGCAGGCTCATATTTAGTCATCCTGGACACTCTCAGGCAGTGCCCTGGAGGAGGGGTGCTGGGTGGGGTGACCCACCAGGCAGACAATGTGAGGTGGGAGGAGGAGGGAAAAGGCCTGTAGCTTTTGCTGCCTGTTTGTCCAAGGTAGGCTGGGAGGTACGCCGGGCTGGGATGCAGCCCAGGTAACTGCAGTGAGTACTCAATGAATGCTCTGTCACTTCCTTACCGATAGCACTAATCTTGCTCTCAAGAATTACCCAGGGTTTTCCTACAGTTTTTTTTTTTTTTAGTTTTTTTTTTAATCTATTGAGTTTTTGTTGTTGCTAAACAGTATATTCCTTGAAATGACTTTTTCGTCAATGTGAATCCATTTCTATAGCCTTGGAACTTACCTGATAGTTATTAAAAGCCACTATTGTGGCCTTTCCTGGTGGCTCAGGGGGTTAAAACACAGCACTGAGAAGCTAAAGCCATTTCAGCATGAGTTTGACGACCGCCCCGGAGGTGACCCACATGGCTCGGCAGACCTGTCCTGACCCGCCCCCTGCTCCCCTCAGCAGTGTACTTTGTCGAACTGCCTGTTCTTCTCCCCACTCTGTCTCTGGTGAATCCTCTCACTGCCCCTGCACCTCTGGCCTGTACCCCAGTTCTCACGCATAAATAAATAAATCTTTAAAACAACAAGCCACTATTGGCCCTTCCTGGTGGCGCAGCGGGTTAAAGCATAGCACTGAGAATCTAAAGCCAATTCCGCATGAGTTCGATTCCCACCTGTCCTGGAGGTGACCACATGGCGTGGCAGACCTCTCCTGGCCCGCCCACTGCTCCCCTCAGCAGTGTACTTCGTGGATCTGCCTGTTCTGTTCCCTGCTCTGTCTCTGGTGAAGCCTCTCACCGCCCCTGAGCCGCTGGCCTGTACCCCAGTTCTGTATGCACAAATAAATAAATCTTTTTTAAAAAAAAAGCCACTATTGTAAGGCATGTTTGTATTAATATCACATGCGTTTTTCTCTTCAGTCCTTGGTGAGGTGCTGCGACCTATTTACTTTAAAAATAAACCTAATGTTGACTGGCTCACCTGGACAAATGGGCAGCACAGATTCCCGAGGCCAGCAGGTGCTGGGCAAAGGGCGCCTTCAAGGCACAGAATGTGCTCCCCTAAGATGCTGCTTAGGACGGGCTGAGGGAGGCAAATCTGAGATGCATCTACATTTATGCCTCCTCAGTTCAACTTTGAGTGGGACTGGCGGCTTGGTCCTCTGCCTAATTAGCTCAGGGCCCACTGCAAGGAGGACAGAGATAGTGCTCGATAAAGCTGGTGAGAGAAAAACCACACCAGCTTCTTCCCTCCCTTGCAGAACTTCTATGTGAGACAGTGGACTCAGGGCCTAAGAGGATTCCCAGCAACTTGGATGCGCTCCACCCGGGGCCGTGAGCTTACCTCATCCACCGTCCACCGGGCCACTTCACCTGCCTGGATGTCAGCCACTCCTGGTAGCAGCTTGCAGTGCTGCTCCCTGCCGAGGGGAAGGTCCCGGAAAGGGTGGGCTGCCAGGGATGACATGAAGACCGACTGGTGCAGCGCCTGCTGTGTGTGCTCCGTGGAGAATTCTGAAAGAGAGTCAGGGTGAGCACAGCACATGCTAGACAGTGCAAAGCAACAGGCACCATGTAGGTCGGCCCCCTCACAGAGGCCGGGACAGGCAGGTGCAGCCACGGGGACACCCGGTCCCTGGCCACACGCCATCACCGAGGGGAGGAGCGTGGCTCACACCACACTGTGTTTCGAAGCAATGGCCATGAGAAATAGGTGTTACATAAGGCCCAGAAGCCTGTGGTGACTTGCTAGGCAATTTCAAATTATCGTTATGAGACAAAGCTAGCTGGTCCCTGTAACTGGCTTCTTTCTCCCTCCACCTGGGGTCAGAGGAAGCACAGAACCTCACAGGATGCGGGCAGCAAGTTGCCTGGGATGGGCACACACACACACACACACACACACACACAGAGGCAAAGTGTTGCCAGAAGCCATTTCATTTGTCTCCACAGACACAATGAGCCAGGTCCACATCAGGCTTCATAGGTCCCCTGGGGGACACTGAACTTGGGCTGCAGCATGGGGTCCCCTGAGGCCTGGGGTGGCAGCTGCTGCTGTAGCTCCCAGCAAGACACAATGACCTCATGGGGACTTGCAGAAAGCAGCACAGTTGAGACGAGATGGCCGATCGAGCACAGGCACTCTTAAATGTGTGCTGTTTTCAAAGCATGAGCTCTGAAGGCGCCAGAGTTCCTTGGCACGAAAGACAATGGTCGCATGCGTGGCTAAGGCTGGCTGCCATGGCCAAGTAGTCCGAATTCATCTTCACCTCACACTCATCCCTGTCTCTCCCAACTGGCTTTTTACTGCCAAGAGTGACTTCAGTCTTAAGTTCTAGCTTGCTATTTAGATAGAGCCACGATCTCAATCCCCTAATTACTTTCTTTCAATCTACACATGGGTGTGTTGCAAAATCAGAGATCAGAGACTGATGCTTTTTACAATGACATCTTTTAAGATACTTTCAATACACAGCCACAAAATTAAGCTGTTGATATTTTAAAAGACTTTAAAAGAAAAAAAAATAGACCACTAAAGGGAATGTTTTAAGCCTGTTGTAAGTCTACCTTTCCTAATGTAAATGGCAGGTTAAGGAAGCAGTAGCCATGTAATGTAAAGGTGATTATGATGGTTTATGTTTTACTAATGGAGTCTGAAAAGCTATTACGCAAATATTTCCACCTCAAATAAATTAGTTTTCATGGGTGAGGGTTGACCTGCACTTTGCATGGTTGCAGTCACATGCCCTTTCGTACTAAGCTGAGGTTCTAACAACGAAGGAACCTGTCATCCCCTACCACTGCTCGGCAGATCCTGCCTATTTAGTGATGCTTTGTTGTTGACACCAGAAGAGACAGCGAAATTGCGGCTTTCTTCCAAATTCTTATGCTCCAGTTGCAAGCGGCAGCAAATTCATCTCTAAATGCTGATTGTCCAACACTGACCTTTTTAGTATGTAAATAGGTTATCTCCCTCCTGTAGTTCAATCCCCAGGATGTAAGGCTGCCAGTCCTAAGGGAAACTTCCCGTCTCCTTTGGAAAGCCAGTGTGTCTACAAATGTGAGTGTCCTTTAATGAAATGGTCAGGTTGGACAAGGAACACGTACATAACAAGCCCTGGGAACCCAGGGCGGACACATGACAGAGGAAGTATGGTTATGGTGGGCAGAAGTCACCCAGGGTTTTCCTGGGAAACCAAGAGCTAAAGCTCTGTATGCTTAGGAGTCAAGACCCTAGCCAAAGTGGCTTTAGTATCACTGTATCAATTAATTGTGTGTGTGTGTGCGCGCTGAAACTACATGGGTTTAATAAAGCAACAAATGTATATCTCAAACCCTTATGCTTGGTAAACATACAATTTCCAAAATGTATAGGACACTGGAAAGACACAATCAGTGAATCTTAGGTGACTGGTGGTCATTAGATTCTATGATTCACAAATAAAGAGGCAGATGTGGGTAAATAAATAAAGCAGTTTTGTGCTCCCAACTACGACAATTTTTCACACTATAATTTAGGAAGCGAATGGCTTTGGGTGCTGAGGCATCCACGTGGTAACGCTACACCTGAGGTGTGGTGGCCACTGGAACTGCAGAGGTCCTCAGGCCCAGCCCATGCAGTGGACTGGCTGGGCTTTGGAAGGCAGGAAGGCAGTCAGTCCCAGTGGTAAGCTGCCTGCAGGGCTATAGCTGAGGTGGGAAGTGCTGGCTTTTGGGCTGTCTCTGACTTCAGAGGGGCTTTATGCTATCTAAGGCCTTTGATCTGGTTATTAAGGTCACACCCTTGTTACTCAACTACTTGTTTGAAGGGAAGTGAAATAGGTTCTGCTATGGCTGAAGAGAACTGAGTGAGGTCCCCCAGGGTATCAGCATATCTGAGCCACATAGGTGCTACTCAAAACTTGACTGTAAGTTCCTCAAGACCAGGACTGATGTTCCAGGACAGGATGTTGCATGATTCAACACAGTGTAAGACTAACTTTCCAAGAGGGGCAAACTAGAGAGAAATCATTTTGGAGAAGGTTTCATGGTGGTGGTTTTGCCTTCTTTGGGCTGGGTTAATTTCTTCCAAAGCTGATGGGTTGGTGTGGGAACTTCAGGTCTAGCTGAGAGAATGCCAGACAGGGAAGGTTCACACCTGCTTGTCTGGATATGAACCCTGGTGCTGCTGAGTGACCTTGGATAAGAGTCTGAAAGTCTATGCATCAAGATGCTTAGGTATTGGGAGGTTTGTGCCCAGCCCGCAGGAGCTGAGGTATGGCTAATGAGAGTGCAGAAGACTTGGCCATGGACTTGAATCAGTAGCATCTAGAAAAATCTTCACAGAACATCAAGGCATTGCTGTTTCTGCAGAAGCAATGGCTTGCTGGAGTCCAACTGACATGACCCTCTGATGAAACAGGTCTCCATCTCTGTATGGCCTGAAGTTGAACTGAAAAGCCCCAGCCCAGGGAAGCCATCATCCCCATTTACTGGGGCAGCCAGCCTGGGCCCATCGTGGTTGGGGTGTGACTCAGGGACCACACAGTGCATGCCATGGGGTACAGTGCAGACTGCTCCCTGATTCCACAGGTTAGAGAGTATTTAGAGACGAAAGGCTTGTAGCTCATCTGAAAAGAGCATAGTTTCTTCTAGATTAGAAAGGATGTCTATCGTGAGCAGAAATGCTCCCAATTTTTTCTTGGCCCTCTCACCCATCCTTCCCACTCTTGCTCTACTCCCACAAAAGGAAAAAAAAAAAATCCTTTATGGAAATGTTCTTTAAAAATATGGCTGTTTCTTCACAAAAGCTCACAACAAAACTGAAGCAAGTGAGTCATAAATGGTAACCGGAGTCTGCATGACTGGGCAGCAAGTTATTTTTAATCCCACTAAAAACAGAGACCTGTTTCACAAGAAACCTTCTCTTCAATGAAAGAGGTAGCAATCCTACTGTGTTCTCTGCTCCAAAAGGGAGGAAGGAAAAATAAAATCACAATAGTTCAGACAACCATTTTCCAATGACTTTCTTAGGATCTTCCTCACCTCCAGTTAGTCCCTGGCAGCTCATTTGCCCAGCACTTACTGGGCACTTCTCCGTTCATGCTGTGCCCTGTTGTGGCTTCTGCAGAAGCAAGGAAGGTTCAGAATGCGCTTCCCTTTGGAGTGGTTTTCCTTCCCGGGATCACTTTTCAAAGTATCTTTGTAATGAAAATGAAGGAGTCCTCTTTCCATCTCTTACCCTCAATGTTACCACCCCCCTCCCCCCAAAAAAGATAAGTGCAAAAAGGACTGAGCAAGCTCAGATGGGATGCGAGGGGCACCGTGACCTTCTGTGCCTTTGTGGGAACATGGATCCCCGCGTGCAACTCTCACCCTGCGCTGGTTCTGACATGCTAAGTGCTGCTGCTTCTGAATCAACGGAGGGGGGGGGGAGAGCGGGGCGGGGGGGGGGTTGTTTGCTGTAGTGTTCCATGTAGACTTCACGTACATTAAGGCCACAGGTTGCTTTCCAATTGTAGCTAATAGTTGACCTTCTTCACGAGCCTGTTACTTAATGACTTTTACACAAAGGTGGGCAGTGAGGCACGGTAAGGTTAGATTTTCCAGGGACTTGTAGTGGGTTATAAAGAGAAACAGAAGTTGAGGGCAGAAACCCTGGGGTGTTCGAGACCCAGGCACTGACTCACACAGTAGCACCCACTGCTTGTGACTCTGGACAATGTGAGATGTAGGTGCGCTAGAAACAAAATGTTTTCTGGATTTTGAGGACTTAGCATCAAAGTGTAAAGGTAGAGTATCTCGTTAATGACTGTTTTCAAGTTTTGATTTCAATGGTGAAATGATCCTTTGAAAATATTGGGTTAAAGAAAGTGTCCTCATTCATGGTCCCCATTTCCTTTTGGCCTTGTGGCTACCAGAAAAGCTCTAACCATGCATGTTGATTAGCCTTGTGTTTCTAGTGGACAGCACAGATCTGGAGGTGTGCTGGCCTTGACCGCTCACAGATCTATCCTGGGTGGGGAGCAGGAACAGGTCAGCACGATGGGGCCCAGGTGTACTCCACCACCCCCTGAACCTTCAAGAGCCAAAGGAGACCTGCAGGCTGAGATGAGACCAGGACAGTCCATCGTGGGATGTGAGTCCATCTGTAGACGGAACCTAGGTGCCACAGTTTGTGAATTGTGAGAACTGAGGAGAGGTTTGTCCAGCACACCGGTGGAGTTCCGCTGACCTCTCCAATGAGCGACCGACCGAAGGAAAGGAGACATCTGGGAAGCCGGGGCTTTCTTTGCATACCACACAAACAAATGCTGACTTGCAGAACTAGATCAGGAGCCATCTAGACTTAGTGTCATTTTCTGGAAATACATCCTTGCAGACCCCAAGTCAAGACATCCTGCAGGAGTCTGTGCTATTTCTTCGTTCTACCAGTACTTGGGTAATGGCAGGAGGAGGTGGGGACATGAACTGTGAAGTTTGTAGACACCCTAATGCATCTTTCCAAGCAGAACTCTTCAGTGATCGTGGCGAAG